GGAGGAGGAGGAGGAGGAAAAGGAGGAAGAGGATAAGGAGGAGGAAAAGGAGGAAGAGGATAAGGAGGAGGAGGAGGAAAAGGAGGAAGAGGAGGAGGAGGAGGAAGAGGATAAGGAGGAGGAGGAGGAAAAGGAGGAAGAGGAGGAGGAGGAGGAAGAGGATAAGGAGGAGGAGGAGGAGGAGGGGAAAGGTGTTCGAAGGATGCGGGGAATCCGCCTCGCGAGCGAAGGCGAAGCCAGGCAAGGATCGGCATCAGGAAGCCCTTAAGTGGCGACCTTGGGGGGGGGGGGGGGGGGGTACGAGTGGAGAGAGGAAGGGGGAGAGAGGAGAAATATGCGAAAAGAGAGTAAAATGTATTGTTTCACACACACATGCACACGTACACACACACACACACGCGCGCTCACACACACACACACACACACACACACACACACACACACACACACACACACACACACATACATACACACACACACACACTCTTACACACCTCACTCTCTTCCCCTCCCTCTCCTTCTTCCCCCCTCCCTCCCTTCCCTTCTCCTCCCTCCCCCTCTTTTCCCTCCATTCCCTTTGCCTCTCTTCCCCTACCCCCCCCCCCCCCCCGCCTCACGAAATATCAGACGTAAATAAACTCCGAAAAGCAAGGTCTACTCCGACGCACGTGGAACTTCCCACAATAGTCCGCAGTCACGATATTTATAAGAGTGACAGACTTACTTTTAGTAGTGTGGGGGGAGGGGGGTAGGGTGAGAGGAGAGACGTGGGGGAGGGAGGAGGGGAAGGGAAGGGGAGGAGAAGGGAATGAGAGAGGTATAGAAGGGCCAGAAGGGGGGGGGGGGGGAAGGACATTGATTTATTGATTTGCAATAGCGGCCATGTCCAGTGGCACGCCAAGGGGACGACCGCACGCACGCACGCACAAGCACGCAGGCGATGACTCACTTGTTTACAAAGTGTTTTCTCTCGCGAAATTTCTTTCTGTTTCTCGGTCATTCTCGTTTCCTCGCCTTTTCATCGCCACTTCTCCCTTATTCTTGTTCATGCTTTTGTTGATATCGTTGTTTTTGTTACCTTTTTATTGTTACTATTTTTATCGTTATTATTATTGTTGTTATTATTATCATTATTATTATTATTATCATTGTTATTATTATTAGCATTAGCATTAGCATGTATCACTATCATTATAATTGTTCATCATTATCAATATTATTTTTCTTTTTATTATTATTATAGTCATCATCATTACTGTTATTTCCAATTAGCATTACAATTAACAGATCTATTAGAGTAGTAATAAAAATCCTCAAACATCTGACCTACAATAACTATGAAAAAAAAATGAGCGAAAATAAAAATGTTCTCAGTCAGAAAATATCTCGCGTGTGCAACATGGCAACGGATTGCAGAGAGAGACTATATTTAATGGAAAGTTTTTTGCTGCAACATTGCTTCTTTTTCTGGTGTTTATTGATGGTTTGCTTCTTGTCTTTTATGTTTGTTTGTTTTTTATTGTTTGTTTTCTCTTATTTTGGTTGTTACTGGAAGTGAGTAGAGAGAGGGGGGGTGGGGAAAGAGGGAGAGAGAGCGAGAGGGAGCGAGAGAGAGAGAGAATGAAAGAGGGGGGAGGGGAGAGAGAGAGAGAGAGAGAGAGAGAGAGAGAGAGAGAGAGAGAGAGAGAGACGCACCATTACCTAAACTCAGCTTCGTCGTCTTTTCCCAGTAAGCGTTTCTGGCGGGCATGTGTGCGTCTACTTCGGAGGAGAATTCAAAAATAGACGATTATTTAATGCCGGAATGCCGTCCATAATTCTGAGTGTTCTGTGGCGCGTTGGAGGTGATTCATTTCCTTCCTCTCGTTCTCCTCTTTCTTCTTCTTCTTCTTCTTCGTTTTTTGGTTTGTCTTCATTGTTTGTTTTTTTTCTTTTTCGTGTTTTTTTACTTTCTTATTATATATTTCTTTTTATATCTGACTTTACCTCTCCTTTTCGTATTCTTACTTTTCCTCCTCCTCGACCTCCTCCTCCTCCTCCTCCTCCTCCACATCCTCCTCCTCCTCCTCCCTCCCCTCCTCCTACTTAACAGTCAAGGACTCTTTTAGGGGAAAATGAATGAGTGTTTAGGACATACATATCGCATCTCTCACCTCCCTCCCTCCCCCTCCCCCCTCCCCCTCCCCCTTCTCCCTTGGCGTAAGACCCTCGGCTTAAGTATTGCATAAGTTGACGTGCATAGTGGAGGGTAGAGGGGCCGGAGGGGGAGGGGGAGGGGGGAGAAATAGAGACTTTGTGTGGTCTTTCTGAGGGAGGGGGGGAGGGAGGGAGGGAGGGTCTTTCTCTCTCTCTCCCTCTTTATTTCCCTCTTTGTTATCTGTTTTTATCTTTCTTCTGTGTCTCTTTCTTTGAGAGATTTTCTTAGAATCGCGAGGTTCCTTCCAGAGCGTCTGGGTGTGCAAGTTGCATGCAAGGTGATGTGTAACTTTACCTCAGTCTGGACGGAGGGCGATGCTGGCGAAGATATGCTCTTTTCTTGGCGTTTCTTTTCTCCCTTTTATTTCCTTTCTCTCTCTCTCTCTTTCTTCCTCTTCCCCCTTTTCTGTCTCTCATTCTTCCTCTTCCTCCATTTCTCTCTCTCCTTCCTCTTCCTCCTTTTCTCTTCCTCCTTTTTTCTCTCTCTCTTTCTTCCTCTTCCTCCTTTTTTCTCTCTCTCTTTCTTCCTCTTCCTCCTTTTCTCTCTCTCTCCTTCCTTTTCCTCCTTTTCTCTCTCTCTCCTTCTTCCTCTTCCTCCTTTTCTCTCTCTCTCTCTTCCTTATCCCACTACACCTTCCTCCTTCTCTCCACCCCTTCTTCTCCCTTTCGCCCCCCCCCCCCAGTGGAAGTTCTTGGTGAACACCGTCATCGTTTCTTAGGTACAGGCGGGGGCGAGGGAGGGGGGGGTAGATGACGTCACACAAGGCACGAGCCTTTGTGGTTGAAAGCGGAGGGAGGGGAAAGAGAGAGAGGGAGAAAGAAAGAAAAAAGAAAGAAAGAGAGAGGGGGAAGGGAAGGAGGGAGGAAGGGAGGGAGGAAGGGAGGGAAAGGAGGAAGGGAGGGAAGACAGAAGAGAAAGATAGAGGAAGGGAATGACGGAATGTGAAAGAGAGAGAGAGAGGAGGGGAGGAAGGGAAGGAGAAAGAGGAAGATGAAGTCATAGAGAGATTTAGAAAGAGGGAGAAGAGTGGAAAATGGGAGTCAGAGAGAGAGAAGAGAAAGAGAGAGAGTGAGGGAGAGAGAGAGAGAGAAAGAAAGAGAGAGTGAGAGAGAGAGACCGTTGATGACCTCATCATCCGACGGCATGACATGACACGGGGGGGGGGGGGGGGGGGGGGGATCCTCTGCGGTAATCCTTGCCTTTTCGTAATCTTGGTCATCGTCTTCTATCTCTTCCTCTTCTGCTGTTTCTTCTCTCTCTCTCTCTCTCTCTCCC